TCTAAGAATCCTAAATCAATACATACTCCAATGTAAAATGCAATTCAAGGTGAAAAGGTCAACCAAAGTACCTGCTTGTGTAGTTCGTTGCAGCGCCAAAGTGAGCGGGAAATTAGAGCCACAATAAGTTGAAGCTTTTTGTGATGCTATCAAACACAAACCAAAACCTGTAAAAAAAAAATTGATCAAAAAATCATGAGTGATATGTTATAGTCTTATAGATTAAAAAGTGTGAGTTTGTAACAAACAAAAATCATAAACATAAACTGATAAAACCAAAAACCACCATGCACAATAATTTAGAGGAAGGCATGAAGCAAAATGGAACAGCCGCTCAGCTTTTTAGGTTGGTTTAAACAAGACCCAAACCTAAGTACTAAAATATAAATAGTTAGAGATTAGAGAAGAAGCAACCTCTACAGACTACCAGTCTACAATAAGTGGGTTAATTTTCAAATTTCAACCTTAAATTCGCTTTCTTCATAGCTTTGGGGAAATAAGTAAAGAAAAAATAAAATATAAAAATACTTGCAGTATACAGAGAGTTCGGTTTGTGGTCGGCAGTCACGGCTCCGGTGGGCAGGTGGCTAGGGGAAAGATTTAGGTTAAAATGGATTTGGGCATGAACGCTTATATTCACCGACATATACAGATTAGGGAGAAAGAATTGGCTAAAGTCTAAAATAGCCTCATCATATATAGATTCTTTCTCCCTCGACAAATACAGATTAGGGAGAAAGAATTGGCTAATTGCTAAAGGGAATATATAGATTCTCAAAAGTCAACAAACACCGTTAGCCTGGGCATCAAAGCTCTTTTATTTATCCATTCTCCTCTTTATCATAAAATTCTAAAGCAACCTAATTTGTAAACTTCAAAACTTGCCAAGTACAGTTGACTTCAGTCTATTGTACTTGTACAACGGAAGAAGCTTTGGCATTACCATAAAAAAATTATCAATTCATTTACAGTATACGGAAATAAATTGTCTCTAGACTGTAAATCTTTTTTCTGTTCAGCAACTTATGCAGTAGAAGAAGAAATTTTACCTTGCAGAAACAAGATTAAAGAGGTACTCACCAGCGAAAATTACTGGGGGAGGCAATATAAGAAGCGAATCCTTTGAGAAATTCTTCGCGGTCGCGGAGGGAATAATCTCCAGAAAACAATTGGTATACGTAGTTCTGGAGACTGGAGTCTAAGCAGGCTTGTGAATTGAGAGAGGCGCCATTGAAGGGACGAGGGCTAGAAAGCTCAATACTAAAAAAATGGGCTTGGGTTGGGCCCAAAGTTCAGTTGGACTTCATTGGGCTCCGCCCCTTGTCACAGGCAATGTAACAAATGTAGGTGGGAAAAATTCAAAAGTCAAGTCTTAACTTTGACACAATTCAATTTTCAGGTGTCAAGTTTCAAAATGCAAAACTCTGGTATTTATTAAATATTCAATTCTAATATAATATAATTAACTCACCCCACCTCCACCACACTTATCGTTGCAAGGACTATTCCGACGACTGTTCCGGCCACCACTCTTCTCCGGTGACTATTCCGGCGACCGTTTCGGTCATCACTCCGATTTCGGCAATTATTCCAGCGACTATTCTGGCAGCTACAACTTTATTCCGACGACTGCTCCGATTTCGGCAATTTATACAATATGGTCACAAATTCACAATTTAGATAGTCACATATTATTTTTCAGTCACAAATAATAATTTTTATACGTCACAAATTATTTTATGGTCACAGTTCAAAAATTTTGTAAGTCACAATTAATTCGTTGGTCACAGATCAAAATTTATAGGTCACACGGTCACAGATTTCCAAATTAGTTGGTCACAGATTATATAATTTTTAGGTCACAGATAACAAAATGGTTGGTCACCGATTATATTTTTAGTCACAGAAAACCAAAATCACCAGATCCGCCAGATCCACCACCTCTGCACTATCGCCACGACCACTACAAACACATCACACCAGCCTGTCACCAGACTCTACCACTACTGCCTGTATCCTACTTAAATCCACCACGCCACCACCACTATCGTCGACCGCACAGTCGACACCTCTACCTGCAAAACCAACAATACCCAACCCACAACCTCACCAACATAACCAACGTCAACGCCTACACGACCATCGCCAGAAACCACCACAACCACAGCCAAACCCCCCACCCCACCAAACACACCCAACAATGCACCACCCCACAACCTCACCAAAATCGCCACTGATTCGCCATAGCTACCAACACATCTACCTGCACAACTAACAAAAATACCTAAAACTCCTAAACACCACCCAAACACCACCACAACGGCGCCCAAAAAAAAAAGATGAATGGTCGCCGTCGCCGTGATGAGTCGCCGGCATCAATCAAAGCGATGCTGCTGCGAATGGTAGCGTCGATGGACTACAGCATCGCGACACTACCGTTCACAACAGCGTCTGCCGGCGATCGTAGTGGAGTATCACCGCTGCTCACAGCGACATCTCCGCTATGTTATCTGACGACGACACGAGGAAGGACGACAGAGAGAGACGAGAGATAGAGGGTGAGAAGAGACGGTTTTGTTGAGATGAATGAGAGGGGATTGGAAATTAGGTTTTAATTATTAATTTAATTAAAACCTGATTTTTGATTAAATAAACTTTACACCTAATTTGTGAATTTAGAAACTTAAAACACCTGATTTTTTGTAATTTCCCAATGTAGGTTCGAAACACAAATTATTTTAGGGAACAATACGTGAATTAGGTGGTTACTATATACAATTTCATCTTTAGGAAATAAGTTTTAAATATTCAAAATTCAGGTTGTAATTAAAATCTATTAGTTAAATAAATAATTAAATATATTTTATAATTAAATATATTAATGTCACAATTATACAATTTATGGTCACGGTTACTCACTTATAGGTCACAGATTATCAAATGAATTTCACGCATTATTTCTTGATCACAAACCACAAATTTATAGGTCACAATTTATTTATCTAATACAAATTATCAAATTAATAGGTAACATATTATTTCTAGGTTACAAAACTCTGTAGCATGGATACTTCAATTAGGGTAGCGTGTCCGTGTCCGACACGTGTCGGACTCGAGTCGATACCGACACTTTTCAGACACTCTACCGTAATCATTTTTCTTTTTATATTAGAAATATTATATATTGTTAACTTAAAGTTATTATCAAGTAACAAAAAAATATTCATGTTTAAAAGATTTCAACAAAAAAAAATAAAAACAAGTATAAAACTAAATTTATACTATATAAATGAAGAACTTTTAAGAATTTAATCAACGTGTCGAAAACGTGTCGTGTCTGTACTTTTTTTAAAAATAGCATGTCGGCGTATTCGACACGTATCGTGTCGAACACACGTGTCCGTGTCGGTGCATCATAGTTACAAAATCACAAATTTTATAGTTCACAACTTATTTCGCGGTCATAGATTATAAAATTATTTGGTCTCAACTTAACAAATTATGAGTCACGATTATAAATTTAGACCCAATCTCACTTTTTTAGGTTACATATTTATTTATTTATTTAGTCACAAACTATAGATTTTATCGATTAATCAATTTATTAGTCACATGTGCTCAAATAATTGGTCACGGGTACTCTTTTATCCCACACCAACCATCGGCACCAACCGAACACCGCGCCATCTCACCACCACCGCAGCACCACCATCGCTGCACCATTGCCATCTCACCACCACCGCCTGAATCAATTTAAGCAAGCTCTTGATAGAGCTACTAGAGATAGTAGTCGTGGACAGAACAAATAGGTGCCTTTTGTTAAACTTAAACGAAGGTTTTCTCAAGTATGTTTTGTGGCAAGGCAGCCTTTGGGATATCACGGTTCTTGGCCTACTTTCGCGCTATCATGCCATATATCAGAAAGTCACCGAAGTCTATGAATTTGCTTTGGGTGGATTGGGGATAACAATAAGTTCTCAAAAGTCCTTGATCG